ACAACAAAAAACAACACATTTATCTGCTATTAATGGAAAAAATTCTGTCATGTTTACCATTTTAAAAGGTCTTCCTTTGTGTTCCCTCACAGCTATATAGTCCTCCCACCAAGTGATGCTGCAGGCCCCCCACCACCTCCTGCCTGCCAGAGTAGGAAGTGCTAATGTCAGAAATGATTAGGACAGCGGGAGTCGTTACAGTGACTCTCCTGCCAGGGCTGTTGAAGATAACAGAGGTCTCAGGAGAGTCAGCAGCACAGACAGCTACCCTCTCTAGTGTCTCCTTTTAACCTCTCCATTTAATGTACACCCTTAAAAGCCTCTTCAGCACTCACTCAAACTGCTTTTGTTTATAGATTTTCTTCATTTTATGAATGGCACTATAGAGCTCTGCAGTGGGCTCGTAGAAACAGCATTTCTCAAAGCGACAGGCTGCAAAGAATTTTGTATGTATTACATAATATTTGCCATTATCTGCTGTACATTGCACACCTATCCCAGCTGTGATTAGACGAGAGCAGAGCACACCCTGTCACAGTCTGTCACAGCATGTTGGGAAATAAGCTATTATTATTATTATTATTGTAGTAGTAGTATAGTAATTGCAAGAGCTTTAACAAGTGAAGTAGACACGACAGTCATCTCTTGACATGTTCCCTTGTGGACATGTTGAGGTGTGGTTATTTCCACACATAGGGCAATGCTCTCAACTGATTACCTAAGTTTGCCCATATGTGATTTTAAGGCTGTAAAAAGCAACAAAAATCAATCATGGTCAAGGATTTTCAGCGACGCTGACCTTAGCTAAGAAAGGCCATTTGTTAGTTTTTGTTGGTTTCTGTTAAGGTTACTAAAATGTGTAAGAAAAGACCAGTGCAGCTTCTAACAACTGAGCACAATCAATAGAAAGCAAAGATTATCTTTGCACTAAGTGACATAGTGTCAGTTACAATAACAGGTGACTCGATGGCTGAAGGTCACAGGTTTTATTCTTCTAACAAGACTCCTCAGTCTCAGTCTCCTGACTAACAGAAAGATTGTAATATATATTAATGCAATAATGAATATCAAATTAAATATAAAATTTTAATGATAATGAATATTTTAAATAACTAACCTTTGTGATAAGCCACTTCACTTTTTGAGGGTCTGCTTGGGCAAAGGTGACCCCCATCATTTAAAAAAAAAATGGCTGGAACATCATATGTGATTCTAAAAAGAACCACATGAAGGTTTCATCATTACATCTTCCCTGTGTAACATTATTAAAACATCTATGTACTCAGAGGATAACACTGAAAACCAATGCTGAGTAGCTGATTCTTGCCCCTGAGGCAGCACTACATCTGAAGTGGGACACCCAGAAACATGGTTTCTAGCATCAGTTTCTAAGTAAGAATACATTTTTAAAAAAACAACATAATTCTTTCAATTTCAACATTATTTTCAGCAAGTTTTTGTATTTTTATATACATCTTACACTAGTTTAGCATTTTTGAACATGCTTAGTGTTTTCATTCTTTATAAAAACCATGTTTGTTTATAAAGTTTTTGTGAGACAGACCAAAGAATGTTATATTGAAGTTTCTTATGAGGATGAGAATTTAAAACTGTTTCTAAAATTATAAAATTGGTTTGTTTATTTGCTTTGTATAAAAGTTTAATATTTTTATTTTATTTTTATTTTTTTACACAGCTCTCTGCCCTGGTGGTAATGTCTGTATCAAAAGCCAGATTTGCAGCAATTTAAGCATAAACATGAAGTTCTACAAACCCAAATGACAAGAAACAGAGGAGGAAAGAAAACATGCTTTTATTGTGGAAAGAGTGATGGTCCTGCACTCCAAAACACACGAGAGCACTCAGAGATTATTAATACACCCAGTTCTCATGGAAAATCAAATGAATAAGGACACTTAGTAAGCCCTTACCTCTCCAGCAGACCCTTGGGCTAAAAGCTCAGGTTGATTAAAAGCTAATAAGTGATCATTTCATTATTCATCCATTAAAGGCAGATAAAAAATTGTTTTTTACTTATGTCAATTACAACATTGTAAGGTTTACAGTGATTGCTTTGCTCCTAAGAAAAAATGCCAAGTGAAGCTGGTAACATATTTCAGTAGTGATATATCTCAGGTTTTTCTTGGATATGTAGCATCCAAACTAAGAGCATTCTAACAACATTTCCTGGCGTAGTGACACATTCCAGTTAAAGCAGTATTGCGTGTAATTATTACCAAAAGTGTACATAAAATATTTCTGCCTGTTCAGACTTCACACAGAAGTTATGCATTCAGTAGTGCTGGTCAGACAGACTCCACAGTCACATCTTAAGGCCACAGGGTAGGTGTATGTTGGATCTACATTGGGCTGACAGTTTGGTAGTTTCACAGTCTCCAGCCGAGTCTCATTGTAAGTACAAACCCGCTGATAGGACTCAATGAAGGGAGGCTCCAGGATTGGCTTCTGAAAAAAACAAAAATAAATTTATTTTGTTTTAAATTTATTTATCACTTTGTTGTAATACTGTCAGGGTTCATTGTATGGCAGGCAGGGTTGGAGCCAAACGCTAAAAAAAAAAAAAGCAGGTTTATTGCTGAGAACTTTCAAAATAAAACAGGAATTAACAAACACTCAGACGAGGACCGAGACGTGAATATGACACACTGACAGAATCTATATACAGGCAGACACACACTGTGCACACTGTGATTATGGTATTTAACCGCTTGTAAAGTGTCCTTGTGTGTCTTGAAAGGTATGTATAAAAGTCTATTATCATTATCATATGCATACTATATATATACACACACACAAATACTGGTATATTGCAGCACCCATGTATTTATGTAGGCTTTTCTGTTCTCAATCTCAACTGAATAACAAATAATGTGTTTTCAACTGTCGTGGTTGTTACGCTCCCTCTTCCTTCCTTGTGACTAACATATCTGAGTGTTTTGTATGCTAATTAGTGCATGCAAGCCCATGTTCCCGATTAGTGGCTGCATACGTTCCACATCCTGCCTTTCATCCTCATTGCTGGTTCTTGGTCCTGCATTCCACCATGACTGATTGGACCAGTGGCCCAATCCTGTCCTTCAATTAACATGCAGACTTAATCAGTGCACCTGTTTTTAAAGGGAAGCCAAACTATCACTGAGTGCTGCTGTGATTTACTGATGTGTCTCATTCTGGTGAAGGTTATGTGTGGCTTTGTACTTTGTTTTTGCAGTAAGTGTAACTTAAAGTCTTTGTGCGCCTCATACAAATGCAGTCTAGTTCTTTTTGCTCCATACCTGTGTTGTTGTTGTATTTTAAGACGTTGACAAAACCATGAATAAGGAGGCTGGGCTTTCTTTACAGTTATGGCCTACGTTATCATTTCATATTAATGATAATTCTTTCAGCTTGCCAAAGAAAGCTGCTCCAGTTAGCTTCTATATTCCAAGCTGTGTTTGATGGGACATTTGTGACACATCATCACATTACATTAAACACCTTCAGTGTTCCTCAAATACTTCATAAAATGACAAAAGTTTATCTTGATTCTATTTTCCAAAGAATGCTCAAATTAATGCAAATCTTTTGCAGCTGTTTACGGTTCCGTGGCCTGCACAGATTTAACCCCCGACCTCCTGGTGTCTGTCCTCAGACTCTCCCTAAAGCAATACATCAGCTCCCTCTGCTGTGCCCTGACCTCCCTGTGGGGGAGAACAGAGAAAAAGATGAGGCTCTTCCCTGAGGCGATCCAAAGAGTAGAACAACACAAAGCTCCGCTACGCTGCAGTAATAAAGCAGAGAGAATCATGAGCTTCCTAATGCCTCCCGTCACTGAATGCAATGTTCCAGATGAAACTTGAGATTTCACAGCGTCTTTTTTTCATAATAGTATATGGTGACTTGTGAAATCCAATTGTGTCTCTCATGCTCTTGAGGCATTGTGGAGGAAACCTCTGCTGTCACTTCAATCTCTGGATTCCACGCTGCTTCCCATTCCTGCAGAATGTTAACTCAGTTTTAGCGCTCCAAAAGTCTTCTGTCTTTATTCATTCTTATGCAAGTGTTTCACTTCAGACAGCCACTCATTACTATGTGGCAATAATTAGATCTTGGTAGGGTATTGCAAACACTGCATGTATTTTTTCCCTTGGACATCTAACTGTAGCAGCTCAATCCCTGCTTGCACTTGCAGCTGACCTTGGGAGAAAGCGAAAACAAATTTTCTCTGGGGGGGAAATCACCCATCTCTCCATCTCTGTATCTACAGTATTCCCTTCATCTGTCTCTGCCTCTCTCTGTGTTTAACTGTCTAAACCATGTTGTTCATCTTTTTTTTATCTATGCTGATAATTTAATTTTGAGTAAAGTTGTGAGTTATATCACCTTGCACTATAATCATATTCTTTCAGTCCCCCTTATCCTCCCTGTGTGTCTGTGCCTGGTACAGTGGCCCTTGTCCTCACCTCCCAGGTCTCACAGCGCCCCCAGCAGGCATCAGTGGTGATGTGCAGACTCCCACAGCCGGGCTTCCTGGCCAGGAAGGTGAACTCCCGGACTGCGCAGCCAATGAAACGCCGCAGGTTGATGGTTGACACACAGCTGATGTTGTCGGACTGTAGAGAGATCCCGAGCAAAAAGCAACATAGAACCACAGCAGGCTTCCTGAGGAAGAGAAGGATTTGTGGACGTAAAGAAGGAGGAGTGATTTAAAGAAGACTTTAAATAGGATTTGTGAGGGCATACTTGATGCAAGCGAGGAGGCTGACTCCCTAAATGCATGAACACATTTCTTTAGAGTGAGAGCATTCTGGCCTCTGCATATCGATGTGAAGCTGTCCCACTGCACGTTTTTTGGTGTCAGTTATTTGTAAGCTTGTCATAAAATAAATTAAAATGGAATCATAGGTGTTTACTGTAAATCTGTAATCTTAAGATTACAGATGACCACCTTGTCCAGTGTTGCTTTTACATGGCCTTAAATGTATTTCCTATCTTGATAATATTCAGAATAATCATTCCATTCCTCTGTGCCTCAACCAGGACACGTTCAGGAGACTCAAAGAGCAAATAAAAGCAGGAAAAGAGCGCTACATCGTGTCTCTGCTGACATTCCACCTCAAAAATGTAATAAAACTCTGAACTTTCCAGTCAAGTCATTTTCTTTAGAACTTGACTTTAAATGAGTTTATTCTCAGTGTGCTTTAGCTGAGATGATACCTCTTTAGTTATCACTTTGTAGTATTGGGTATTTTTATGCAAATGTTTTAGGAATGAAGCCCATAACAGCTGTATTGTAGAGTGTCAGGCAACGGTCAGGTCTCTGTTTTTTATTAAATCACCTGCATTCCTCTATAATAGAAGTATGGTCCAGTACTGGACAAGAAATTATTGGAGTTTTAATCCTTAAAAATAGAATTTTTCAGTTTTAATAATTTTGTAATTCCTCTCATTTGATACATTGTCTGCCAAAAGCACACAACATGTTAAAAACTACAGAGTTAGACAAATTAAGTTATTTGTAGAATCATTTATTATTTGCTGGACTTGTCACCAATAAACTGTTAAACTGCAAATCTGTAAATCTCTGACATTCCTGGTTATCGTTCAGGACTAAAAACAGTCCTGCTATTTTGACTGAACACAGTTAGGAGCTACAATCCTCGAAGTTAAACCTCGGAAAATAATCCTGCATGCACTCACCACTGTGGCTGTCTCCTTTGAAGGGTCATCTCAGCTGTAAATCGCAGTTGCAGTCTGGTTTCAAGCAGACGTTGAAGCATCTGTTTTAGTTTTTTGCTGTTTAATGAGCAGCTACTCTCACTTTTTAATACTCGGATGTGAAATGATTTTTTGGCTGGACTGAATGAATAACATGAACCACAGTACTTGTCACTGATGGTTCCTTTGACCTGAACCATCTGCTAATGGATCTGGCAGTACAAGCCGAGGCTTTATATCGGCCCCTCGTCCTGCCAACCAGCAGCTGAAAACCTCACCTCGGTCTGCCTCTTCTCCTCCTGACTCTGTAAATCCCCCAAAGGCCCTTCTACCTGTCACTGCCCATCGAATTCAGCCACCAGCTTGTTCCCACTCCATTAGCTTGATTAGGGAGGCGTCTGCCCTTTTGTTCATAGTCGTTCACACGGAAAAGGGGGAACAAAACTCAAATGCAGTTCCTACCTGTGTCTACACTTACTCATTCAGGCTCAATTAGCTGGCTCCAGGTACAGACCCTGCTCCTGTTCTCACATGCCGACTGCAATTATTTCACCCATAAGCTCCTCCACAGCTGTCCTCCGCCTTACCCTGCTACTGTCTCATTCTCATTTTTTTTGTGTCATGTGTTTTGTTTTGGGGGTGGTTGTCCATTTTTGTTGCTAGTGACACTCATCACACCACTCTAGAGAGCAACCTGACCAAGTCTACAGCTTCTACCACACGGTTCACTCAATTATGAAGGAAAGGATACGTCAGCCCTCCCAGGAGTCAGTGACAGGAGGAGGAGAAGAAAGATGTGGAGACATGTAGAAGGGGATGAATTGCCTCATCAAGAAATTACCACCGTCAGGTACCCCTACGAGCGGCATGTGAAGCCAGTGGCGCAGAACTGTGCTCAAGTAGTTCAGGAAATGAATCTGTAGAAGTCGACTTGAAAGTTAAGGCCAAGCAATTAAAGTTAGATTAGAGAGAATATTGTGGAAGATGAGTCAGGGACAGGTTCACAGACTCTCTGTTCTCCTTGCTGTCATGAAGAATTAGCCTTACTGAACAATGTGCAGGATGTAGAATAACAGGATGCATGTAATTGGATAACTTTGGTGGAGGTTAATTGTGATTCAGTACAAAGGGAGTAAAGCCTAGATTTCCAAAATCCAGCTTTTATGTAATTATTATATACTAAAAGTTTCCAGCTTCATTTTCTTGTCATTTAATTACAAGGATGCTCATCTTCTTTATTAATCAGTCCTGACTAAAATAACTTGGAAATAAGCAGAAACCAAATCAAATTCAAAGGCTAGTGTCTTATATAAGGGTGAGTGCAGAGAGACTGAAGCCAGCATGCATGTGAGTGTTTGTGCAGGTGAGAAAGGAAGCTTCTGTAAGTGCAAACATGTAAAAACCCAATGAGATATTATTACAGCCAGTAGTTCAGCCCACGTATGTTGTTATGCAGCTTTTGATAGTGTCACAGCTATTATTATTATGGTAGCATTATTAGGATTTCTTGCCAATGTTTGAATTCAACAGTGTTTAATTGGGAAATTTACATGAAAATAAAAATATAATTGCTTTTTGTAAAAATGAGCAGAATAAAGATAAATGAGTAATCCTAAATAAAAAGTCAAATCCTAGGTCTGGCATATCACTCAGCTTTGCTCTTGTTTGTGATATCCAATAATTGTGTAAGTTTCTAAAAGATAATATCTATCTATTAACATTTTCTGTCCAGTTTACTCAGGACTTTTGTTATCTTGAGGAATCTCCTATCTCCAGGAATGACCTAAAGGTAATAAGTGGCAGTAGTGCTAAATATCTAAAGCAACAAACAGATCAACAGACTATCATGGGCAGTTATTTAAGTATGTTGTTTATTTCCATGGATTGTTTGGTTATGTAATGGTAATAAAAGCAGACCATCCATGTCCTTAATGCTTTCCCAGTAATCAATACTCAAATCCATGCAATCAATCAATCAATCAATGTAAACATCTAAATTGATGAATCTGTTGGAAATTATTTGAAATGCATTGCCACATGTTACTAGATTGTTTTTTAAATGCTGACTCTTGTACATTAAGACTTTACTTAAAAGTATGAAATCGTGTGGGTTTGGCTGTAGACGTCAGGAGCCCTGACAGGAATAAGATGATGTTGTGCTGACCTCTGGTGCTCACATATAATATTAATATTTTTCAATGATTTGAATGCAAATTATTCACTGAGTTATGCCATTTTACAGTGATATACAATTCTTTGGCAGATGAATCCTTTGAAATTATTTTCTCATTGTATGATTAGCTGAAACTACATGAAAATATTGTATCCATAAAAACTATGACTTGATTGGGGAAAGATGTTGGTATTGCAGTACATCTGTTAAAATATCCAGTTCAATCTTTTGCAAATGTCAGATGAGTGGACCTTAGCTGTATTTCTAGACCTGTGAGCCAGTCTCACTAACACTAACACTCTAAAACATTTAACTCATATGTGATGATTAAAATAAATCATAATGTGTTTAAATTAGACTCATGAATTACAGAATTTGTACTCAAAAGCAGGGCATGGAAAAAGGTTAGAGTTAAACTCAGAAAGCATCTTTCATAAGGTTGTTGAAGCAGTGCACAAAACAAAAGACTAATTCAGTCCAGCAAACACATGAGAACAGATTAACAGCCACTGAGACAAAGGACTGAGAGGAAGACAGCTCTATATATACACAGAAGGGCAATAACAGGAAGTGGGCACAGCTGGGGAAAACAAGAAGCAAGTGCCGACAATCAAGACAATGAGACGGGAGTGGAAGTAAAACTAAACACAAGACAGTTAAGACAAGTAACTGCCAAAATAAAACAGGGTGTGAGAAATGCACATACATTAATAAACCTAGGGGAGGATTAGACAGGAAACACAGAGGAAACAAATTGAGCAATAAAACTAAGAAAAGACTCGAAAATACTCAAAACATAAAGATCAGTAAACAAAACTGTAATACCAAACGAAGAACCTAACTTCTAAGGTGTGTATACTTACCATAAAAAAGCACTGCATGAGGAAAATCACATTTTATCAGCTAGCAGATCACAAAGAGATCACGCAATATCACCATATCCCGGTACATCAGTGGAAAATGTGGTGTTTCTTACTCACTGAGCTGAATGTGAATACGTGAACAGCCAAATGTTCCTTTAAATAAAAAGAATGTTTCATTTTCATGCGTATTTCCATAAATTTTATTAAATAATTACTGGATCTGTGATGTATAATAAAAACTTATCATATCATTACCATACCATTAGTCTCCTATAGTGCTATATAGCTCGTATTTTGCTAGGTTTATGTAACTTTTAGCTCAAATATGTTCCTTCTTTCGTTTACACTGTATGGTCATGCATGGCTACACCTCAGAAAGGATCTGTCAGTTCTGCATGCGCATGAGCATATATGTACATGTTGAAGCCGGACTTTTAACCCAGGTGACAGCCATCAGAGCCAAACTGGAGGGAGGTGGGTGAGCTGAACCCTGGCTGGTTTCTATTTTTAGTGCCCCACAGAGTTTCCTACTTGGCCCCGGCATGGCTCTGACTTCTCGGGTGACAGTCCAGTGGAGCGCTGCAAACTTCCAGATCTGTCAAACAGTGCTTCAGGTTTCATTTCCACATACTACAACAGAACCAGATCTGCTCTCCCACATTGCAGTTCAATAGTCCCTGGACCTCCATCTTTACCCCAAAACACAACTTTTTACTGTATGTAAGTACAACCAACTTTTGACATTTTTTCTGTAAATCTCTATGAAATGTCGAAGAACCAGCAGTACGTGCAGCTGTAAAGAATGTGTTGACTACTGACTGCAGTTTAGGTGGTGAAGTTTACAAAATGCGGCTGTAATTGACCCTGAGTGTAATTAGTAATGGTATTGCTGTCACCCGATGCAATTCCTAAGTGTGTGTGAGGAGAGTGTCTTCTCATTATATTCTTCCTAAACCTGCAGACCCATGGCTTCTTATCTGCCTTATTAAAAAGTCCTCTAGTCTTCCTCAAGGACTCATTATATGTCTCAACTGATCTGATCTCAGTTCAGCTGTACACACATGTTCCTTGCTGCTATTTTTGGGACCCAACAGCTTCATAACAGTGACAGTATCTCACATTCCTGCAGTGAGAGCCAGCTCACTTAGTAGCACTTATAGACAACAGTGATAGGACAAGTTAATGTACAGTGGTTGGGATTTCTTTTCTTACATTTGCATATATACATCTATATATCTTATTTATATAGATGTATATATGTAAGCAGTTCTGAACTGTAGCCTGTCTAGTAACAATTCAATGCATCAGTTTAGTAAGAATAACGAATTCCTGTTGCTAACTAAAGTTATTCTATGTTTAAGCGACTGATGTAAAGTGAATATGTATCAACCCAGGACTGTTATGAGTTGCAGTTTATACATCATTTAAAGGCCTTATCACCCAGTTAGCAGATGTGACTTTTCTCAGTAGTTTGACTTGAAGGATTCTTTCAAACACAGTGTCTCTCTCAGTCATCACTTTAACTGAGCCACCTCTTCTTTGTACCTCATGTTTATCTGTCTATGTGTGAAAAATTGCCTGTTACCAAAGATCACTATAAGATTTGTATTTATACCAAGAATCACACTATAAATTTGGACTGTTTGTTCTGTATTTAAGATATAAATCCAGAGATATTGCTTTTGGTTAGGATGCTTTTACAACAACGTCGTCATATAAATTCACATTTCCTTTCTGCTAAAACATGTGAGCAGCTCTAACTCAGCCCACTTGTAGGTGGTAGGATAACTGAAGTTGAGCTGAGAATCATTTTGTTAAGCACCCTGGATTAAAAATCCCTACAGTGGTATGTAGGGTAGTATAACATTTAGTTTTGTTTCTATAAAAAATCTGCAACCCTATTTCCTTCACTTCAACTTGAGCTATTTAGAAGAATAATTATGTGATACCGTTTTTCTGCCCTAGCAGAACATTCATAAATAACAGGAGTTTTTTGTTTTCCCTGTTAGCTTGTTAGAGTTCAGTGTCTTTGTTTTCCATTTCTTAGTGGAGTCATAGATGATGATACTCGATAGAAATCTTCTATCTAAGAGAAACTACCTTACTAACCTCATTCAATCAAGACCTCCGTGTTGTATGAACCTTGTGATACTGT